CAGCTGCTGGACTGTGACCCGGGATGCTTCCATCCAGTTGTGGGGTCCCTGTCACTTTAAGACTTTTAAAAGCACTCGCTTTTCTTTGTCCCAGAGGTGCCGGCTGTGGGACCCGCTCACAGGTCTTACTGTCCTGCTTCCCTAGTTTCCAGCACCCCATGCATGCACTGTGTATCTGCGCTCTGGTGTGAGTGGCTAGGGCTGGGTGTTTAGCAGTCCTGGGCTCCCTCTCCCTCCTTGCTCCGACTCCTCTCCTCCCGCCGGGAGCTGGGGTGATGGGCCTTGGTTCCCGCAGGGCTGTGGCTTGTATCTTACTCCTTTCACCAGGCACTGGGTTCTCGCAGGTGTGGATGTAGTCTGGCTGTTGTCCTGTGTCTTCTGGTCTCTCTTTTAGGAATAGTTGTATTTGTTGTAGTTTCAAAAATATATATGGTTTTGGGAGGGGATTCCCACTGTCCTACTCATGCCATCTTAGCTCCGCCTCTCTGTTTCAACCTATTTTTAACACAAGTTTCTTACCTCTTAAACAGCTCATTCTTGTTAATTTATGTTTTAAATAATATTACTATGAAAAAGGACTATAACCATTTGTCTGCTTTCATAGACACCCATGAAACATCTGTATTTGAATGTAATAACCAGTATCTTCTGAGAAGTGTTTTTTTTTTTTGTCTTTCCTATATATAGAACAATACAGCTGTTGACATACCTTTTATACCTAAATTATTCTTGAGGTTTCCATGAGAACCCCTGGGTAAATGCAACAATTTATCTTTACACTTTATGACAGAATACAAAAATAATTACATATACTTGCTCTTCCATGTATATTATGAGGCTAAACAAATATCACAAGATCTTTCTATGAACCCAAATACCCAATAGACTTTCTTAAGCAGACACTGTAACAACTACCAACTTTGGATATTTCTAATTAGACTAACTCCTCACTGTGCACAAAGAAAAGTTTGTTTTTGGAAGGCTAAGCTCAAATTTAGAAACAATGCAAACCAATTTTTTTTTGCCTTAACATGCCTCTCAAGCAATAGCTAAGGTTTATCTGCCTTGCTTAATAAAACACTGATTTATTTTTTTCTTAGTACATTCAAGTAAAAAAAATTATACTAGTCAGAAGACCTATGTATCTAACAAAACACTATTTAATGTATATGAATCTTCCTCATATGTAAAGATGGAGCTAATGCCTATCCTATCCACCTCTCAAGAGTCTTATGAATATATAATAATATAAAAAACAACCTGATATAAATATGGAAATCTTACATAACACAGAGAAGGCATTACAAATCAGTGGGGAAAAAGGCACTATTCAATAAACTAATTAGACAACTGATTATCTACATGGGGAAAAAGAATTTAGATTTCTTATATAACATCAACACGAAATAAAATTATTTTTAAAGAAGTAAATGTAAAAAAAAAGAAGTTAAAAATTTTAGAACACAGAAAAAATAGATCATTATGACCTGAGAGTCAATAAAACAGCAAATGTTTAAAACATTAAAAGGCTGATAATCAACTACCTTACAAATATACTGCTGTATGACATTACAGACATCCTTAAAAAGTTAAAAGACACAGACTCAGAGATGCTATTTGTAATACATGTGACCCCTTAAGGATTATAGACCAAAATATATCGAGTTCCTAAAAACCAATTCTAAAACACAGGAAAATGAAAAGGTATTAAAAAGCAACTTATAAAGAGACAATCTATTTTAAAATGGGCAAGAAACAAAAGATGCCTATAACTGTTTAACCTCGCTAATAATTAGAGAAATACAAATTAAATCAAGAGACAACCCCTATTAGATTGATCAATAATAACAAATATAACACCCACTTATTTTGCTGAGAACACAGACTGATGAGAATTCTTACACATTGGGGGCAGGGTTGTCAACTGGCTCAACCAATTTGGACAGCAATCTGGCAGTAGTTAGGCTTAAGTTAAACATGCATATACCCTTAAATCCAAGAATTCTACTACTTAGCATATATAATACTACAGAGAATCTCTCATACATATGTACAATGAAACATGTATATATTGCCCACTGAAAAAATTGTTTTTAATAGTGAAAAATTAGAAAGCCTTATCAAAAGAGTACATAAACACATTTTCATGTTAAGGTAATATAAATTCAACCAACCACTTATTTTCTAAGTCCTGAGAGCTAAGTAAGGTTTTTCAAAAGTTACATCTTAAATGACTATTTAAGTATCTACAAAGTAACCTCAATTTTTGCCTTTTGGCTAGCAGAGTCTCAATTATTTACTACCTGGCCTTTTAAGAAAAGCTTGCTAACCTCCACTATAAAGGAATGGAAATATATCATTTATCAACATGAATAATCAATCTCAAAGGTATATAATGAATAGTGGAAAAAGCATTATCACAGGATATGTGTAGTATTAAACCATTTTTATAAAGTTTTAAAACAATACCACATGCTGTTAATATATACATGTGTTAGTGGGATTGAGTTTGTTCTCCTCAGTTCTTGTACCCACTGCAACAAAGAACTGAAGGGCAGAGACACAGTAGTGAAGCAGAATTAAAGTTTTGTTTGAAGACACTGCAGAGGAAGAGCAGGCTAGTCAAGGCAGACAAAGGCAGGTTTACTTGAATAAAGCAGAGAGGAAGGAAAAATAGAGGAGGAGGAAAGGGAAACTCATTAAGCTACTCCTCAACAGAGGGCATATACCCTGACAAATCCTAAAACCAGTGTCAACTGGTGTCCAGGGTCCGCTTGAATCTGCATGGCTTGGGAACTAAATCTCCACCATCCCAGGATTTAGGGGAGTGTGGGTAAAATTGTAAGATTTCCAGATTATCTCACCTGGCTTTAGTGCATTTGCATATCTTCAGGGGTGGAGAGAAGTTCATCTCCATGTCAGTGGGTAATTACCTGGGCAACAGAGGGCATTTCTGAACCTGACAGTTTAAGGGGAGGGGCTAGCTTGCTTGCTTGCCTGCTTCTTCCAGAGCAGAAGAAAGAGAGATGGCCCTGGACTGCAGTTTATAAGCAATAAATGGGTTTTAAACTTTATTTCTCCCTTTATCTGATTTCGGTTGTTAGAGGTATTTTGTCTCAAGATTTCCTCTCCCCGGACTTACAGGGAGCCATAGAGAACTGGATAGAGTGACATTATATTCTGAGAACTTCCCAAGGCAAAGAAAGATTTTCAGGCAGGCAACTAAGGAGCATGATCATACAGCTGCAGTTCCGTCGGGGTCACCCACGCAACGGGAACTTGCAAGCCCAAATCAGAACTCTCAGTAGCCCCTCCCTACTTATCTGAAGTAGGACACAGAGTGACACACTCAAAGGTGAGTGTGGGTAACCTCAGAGAGGAGGAGGCATGCTTAAGGCCTGATCCCCACTTCTTCTAATTTCTCTTTATTGTTGTTGTTATTATTTTCTCTGCTATTGTAATTTTTTTTGTTAATTAAATGCTTTGGTCAGAAAAAAAAAAAAAGATGCAGGGTCTGGGGTTTTACAGGGCTTTTTTGGCTAAGGGTCAGCCTAAAGCTAGATGCATACAGGTGATTCATAATTCCTCTGAAGTTTTCTCTTAAGAATAGGGTTATTTAGGTGATTATGTTGGTTTGGGCCTTCAGCATTCTTTGTCCACATAGGTTTATTTACACTTCTGAGGTCTGTCTCCTGACCTGGTTACAAAGTTACTTGATTAGGGGCCAGAGGAAGAGGCAGACACAGCATATTGGTTAAGTTAAAGAACAAACTGGGCCTTTTTTGCAGGCTAAGTAGATTTTACAGTGGCATGATCTAATTGATAGAATGAAGACATGGGCTGCGCTCAGATACTTTTCTTTCCCTGGGGAAAATGGTGACATTCTGAGTTGCTCCTGGCCTATGGAACTTCAACTAATTAACTCATTAACTCTGTGAGTCTTTTCTGGTTAACTCTGAGTCCCTCTTAGAGGGCTTTACTGGTCTATTCACCCTCCACTCACTCATATCTACTTTTCTGTCTAACCCATTCACATGTAGGAAAAGTTGAACAACATTCATAAGAATTTTAACTACCAAATTCAATATAGTTGGCTACCTCTAATAATAAGAAAGAGAAGAATGGGCTCAGCAAAGGTATACTTGAGATTTCAATAGTCACTATAGTATTTTATTTCTTAAGCAAGGTCATGGGGATTCATGTGTTTCTGTTTTGTTTTTGCTTTTGGATTTTTTGGTGTACCTGAAAGAGTTCATTAATGGAAACTGAATGAGAAAGGAGATATCACAATGGTGTGAAATAGTTAAACAATGTGTATGAAACTTCTTTTTACACCATAATGACATATATACTAATATATTTCAGGGTACTCTACCATTTATTTTGGTACATCCCTAGCACCTTATAGTTTCTAATACAGAATATGTATTATTTGTTGAATGTATGAAAGAATGAATGCTGTATCAATAAACGAAAAATGTGTTAAGAATAATACTTAGCTCACTAGGTTCTTAGGACTGATCAGAAATCATTCAAAGTACCTAGCAAACACTTGATACATAATAAGCACTCAAAATATATTAACTATTGTCATCTCAGGGGGAAAAGTATTACAAACTATTCCTAATTACTAAAATCACACTAATCTCACTTAAAAGAGAATATGGGACTGTACTCTTAAAAAATAATTAAGATGGTAAATTTCATGTTTTTGCCACAATAAGAAAGAAATCAACTCTAAGGCTATAACACCTTATTAAATTTATCACTCACATTTCATGTGCTATATATTATTCCTCACTTAAACATGAGGAAACAAATTTAGAGTACTACTTTGCCTGGGTCATCACCCAGCTAAATGGCAGAGCCTGGATTTACTACCAGGTCTGTCAATTGCAGAGCTCTTTATGCCAATACTGCCTCTCTATTAAATAACATAGACAAACTATTAAATGCTGAACAGTAATACTGTTGTATATTGTATACACAAGAGACATTACCCAGGATGATCAAGATTCTTCTTTTTAGCCAGGTCTGCTTCATCCTTTTCCAAAGACTCATTCTGGGAACCGGAAATTTCATCATGGTCAATAATTCCTTCAGAATCATTAGTGTTTAAAGACTTGCGTGCTCTTGAGCTGCGTGGAGTAGTTCTCTTCTGCCCCTTTAAAGGCACATTTTTTCCCCTAATGTTCTTAGATGACTGATTTGTTTTCTCAGCAGGTTTTTGTCTACTGTTTTGATTCAATGATAATTCATTTCTTCTGAAAGAATTGTTATCAACAGGACCTGAAGGATTCAGTGATAACCTAAAGTTAGCAAAACATCCAGATTTTCTGGCTCACCAAAATACTAACTTTATTTATATTTACACATATACACATACATACAGGATATAATGTAGCAATATACATAGGGAAGCATAATACCTTTTCAAATTGGAGACTTTATTTTCTTTGGGTAAATTCCTAGAAGTGCAGTTACTGACTCATACAGTATTTCTATTTTGGTTTTTGAGGAAACCATAAAGCTTCCCATAATGGCTGTATCAATTTACATTACCAACAATAGTGTAGGAGGATTCTCTTTTCTCCACATCCTCTCCAACACTTGTAATTTCTTATCTTTTGAATAGTGGCCATCAAATCTTCTTCTTTCAAGCTCTCCAGCTGTCACTAGCAGATACCCTCATCATTTCTTATCTGGATTATTAAAACCTCTTGTCTCCTTTTCTCTAGCCTTGTTGTTCTTCAATCCATTCTTCACACTGCTTCAAGAATCATCCTCAGAAAATAAGTTGGATCATCACAAGTCTGCTTAAAACCTTTTAATGAGTATCTATATCTTAAGGATCAAGTATTTTTAATAGTAATTTACTTCTATATCTAGAGTGCTTATTTCATTTATCACAACTCTCAACATCCCCTCCAAACAAACAAACAAAAGCCTGCGACACTGAGCTGTTTGCATTTCTCTTAAGTACTGGTTCTCACAGGTAGTCCCTAGAAGAGGAAGATTGGTATCACCTGGGAATTTGTTTGAAATGCAGATTCTCAGGTCTCACCTCACACCTACTAAATCACACAGAGCAGGGGTTCCATAATTTTTGCTGTATGAAGCCCTTCAAATAATCTAATAAAACAATTTTTAAAAAGTCAAAATCTAAGCTCCAGATCTCTGTACATGTTACTTCTGCTTAAAACATTCCATCCTTCCTCCTCACCTCACCCAATCACTAGCTGACTCCTAATTTATCCTTCAGGAAGCTTTCTCTATTCAAGTGTGGTTCAGTATATGATCTATAATCTGACTCCCTATTTGATGTGAAACTTATCTCTTTCAGGAATGCTACATAAGCCTTTTTTTAGTAAGTCTCAGACTTCTAGAGCATTTATCCAAGCTCTGTAAAATTTTTATTTGCCCATATACTTACATATTCATTTATTGAGTACAGTTTCAGGCACTGGGTGGGACACAGAGGTAAATATTCTAAAGCAGTAACAGCCATTAATATTTTAATACCAACTATATGCCATTGAAATGCTTATAACAACTTAATGAGAAAGAAGTATTGGTAATCATGTTACAGAGTGAGAAACAACAAAATCCACCCGAAGTGGAAAAATCAGAATTTGAATTCAGATCTAACTCCAAAACCCAAGGAGGGCACTGGCAGAATAAATATGCCTTGCTATCAATTAAGCATCCCGATCAAGCAAAAAATCATAGCAACAAGCCCTCACAATGTAGTGCCATATATGTACTAGTCTCTCAACTTATTGATCTAAATACACCACAGTCAACATGATCTGCATATGTAAATGTTACCTTATCAAGTACCAATCTTTCCATGATCACCACCTTTAAAAATATATATTTTTAAATCCCAAAACAATATGTGTTTCATACTGTACATAAAAGAGTTGACACAGCAGGCCTAGATACATTATTTTTTTAAAGGCCTGCTTGCATTAACCCCTGGCTACCAAGTGGGAACTTGGATTCTAGGAAGGTTCCCATCATTTCCTAAATGGTAAGTGTGGTTTAGTGTGCCTAAACTGCTTGTGCAAAAACTATGGTTATGCCAAATACTTGCTTTCATTCAGGGAATGTGGAATTTTAGTACTTGCAGACAGAAGATGCCAAGGTGTTCATCCCCAGTAAGAATCTTAGGTACTAAGTCTCTAATAAGCTTACTTGGCAGACAACATTTCAAATATATGTCACAACTCATTGCTGGAGGAGCAAAGTGCTTCCAGTATGAATCCACTGGGAGAGAACTCTTAGAAGCTTGAGCCCAATTTCTTTCAAATGTTGCTTGTGTCTTTTTTCTCTGCTGACTGTGCTTTGTATCCTTTTTCTGTAAGGCAACTTCAGATTACATTATCACCTCTGCCACTTCACTGTTACCTGATGACTCAACTTACTCCTTCAGTGAAAAAACAAAAATGGTCAAGAGTACATTTTCATCTTCCCACCATCAACTTTATCAACCTACCTCCACCTATCCCCATATACTCTGCCTTTCTTCTTGTACATGATATACTGTCCTTGCTCTAATCTAGAACTAACCCTTGTACTGTGCACCAGATCATCTCCCGTCCTCCTTGCCTACTCAAGGAGTATGATCCTACATTTATCCTCTACCTTTCTACAAGGCCATTTTAAATGAGCAGATAAACTGATATAGTATCTTTTGTGTGTGTGTGTAAAAGATGTTCCCTTGAATCCACATCTGCTATGCCCCCTCATCTTGTTTCTCCTTCCTCACTACCTATTACCATGAATCATTCCAGTCAAGCTTTTAATCTCATTCCACAAAAACCATTTTTATCAAAGTGATCAACAATGTCCATGTTGCTAAAACCATACAGTCAATTCTAAATTTTCATCTAATTCAGGCCACCAGCAGTATTTAAAACAGTTCATCACTTGAACTTTAAAATGCTCTCATTACTTCACTTCAACCCTAAATTCTTCTCCTTTTCCTCTAATCTCACTAACTGCTCCTTTTCAGTTTCTTTGATGGATCTTCCTTCTCCTTCCCAACTTCTAATATGGGAGTTTCCCAAGATTCAAACTCTGGCTTTCTTTCTTCTCCAGGAACAGTATTTTTCTAGGTGATTTCAAGCAGGCCCAAATCCTTAAAATATCATCTATGTATTGATAACTCCCTAATTATATGTCTTCCTAGATCTTCCTCCTACCTTCAGACTCATTTATAGGCTATAATGTCAATATATACACTTTTACATATAATTAATGTATTACAACCTGAAACCTTGATAGCCTCCCCAAATCTTCCTGTCTCATTCCTTTCCTCACCTCAGTAAACAGTACAGCTCTGTTCTTCTACTTCTTTAGGCAAAAAATCTGAGTCATCCTAAACTCCTGCTTCTTTCTCACTCTAATCCAACCATACTTTTTGTAAGTTGCCTTCAAAAAATATCCTGAATCCAGTCACTTTTCTTCTCTTCCCTTCAATAATCTCTTAACTAGTATCCATGCTTCCATGTTTGCCCAGCCCTAGTTTCCTCTCCACACAGAATTAATAATTCTTTTAAAAGATGAGTCAATCAGGTCAATGTATGGCTTAAAATCTTTCCATATACTTACATATTCATTTATTGAGTAGTGTCCTAAACTCTTCATTTACAGTTGCCTCCTTGACTTCATCTCCCCCATCTTACTCTCCTTCTTTAGCCATCCTGGCTTTCTCATGTTTCTCAAATACGCTCCACAAGGACTTTTACAAACACTCCTCCCATTGCCTGGAATGTCCCACACCTTGTATCTGTATGACTCCATCCTTCACTTTTTTCATGTATATGCTTTGAAAGATCATAATGGACTCCACTAGCTACCTGTAATAAAAACTGTATTCTGCTCTATTCTCTTTTCTACCTCATCATGGCCATCCACTTCTCATCTCTTATCATTTATTGTTTTTAGTTTCCTTTATTACCTAACACTATTTTTTTCAGTTTTATTACCTATCACTCCATGAATTTTATATCAATACTGTTGATCTTCCCCACAAGAATGTAAGTCCACTGACAGAAGGGAATATTTTTAATTAATTGTTTTGTTTTTCCACAGCTATTTCCCTATATTTAGAATATTGTATATAGCAAATCCACAATGAGAATCTTTATACATAACTGATTTAATACTCTATTGATGATCCAATTTAACTTTGTCCTTATTAGATTTTCTCTAGATAGTAGGAATATAAATCAAACAAAAAGCCTCTTACAGAACAACTTTTTGGTATCTCCCAATGAACACAATTTAAATAAAAATACTTACTCTGCTCTGATTTTACCACCCACCAATTAGATGGATTCCTGGAAATTCTTCGACTTCTTGTAACAGTTAAAGTCACTTCTTCAAGTGTAACAAGTTTGTTGTTCTTGGACTCATTTGAAAAACGCTTCTTGTTACGATTACTATTTCTTTTCAAATTCTCTGCATGAGGAATATTAATGCTACTTTTCTTGCCTCCTAAATTAAAGAAAATCATAAAACAACTCACAATCTACTGAACCAAAGAGTTTTCAAAAACCAAATAAAAAAAACACCTGTCAATTATGAGAATTTCTTTAATTTATCTGTTGGACTTCTTGTCACATCTATTTTTTTAAAGTCACATGTTCTCTGTAAGATTTCTAACTTTTTGTCAATGTAAATTTTTCACATTGATTGATAATTAACATATACTCCTGAACCAAAAAATTGTTACACTAAGGGAAAAAAAATGAGATACAGGGCTTGAGGTGAAACAAACAAACAAAAAAGATCTGTAGGAATTCAAGGCAGAAAATTCCTCCCACAAACACACCAAGGAAGCAAATACAGCAAATACAAATAAACCTGAACACTTGGGCACTCTGGGAGTCTGAGACTCCAGCCACTTATGCAGAAAAGGCACACTATACTGGTCCTGCAGTTTTAAAGACATGCCAGGAGTGGGAGGGGTGCCAGACAGACAAGGGCTGGCCAGAGATCTCTCCACAGGAGAAAGTGCAGGTGGACATACCCCCCACCAGCCCTCCCTCAGCCTAAAAGTTTGGGCACTCTCTAGAAACCCTGACGCTCCATCCCCATCATAGAGCCTCAGCCCTGAGGCACTTCCCTGCTCACAGCCAATGGGCCAGCACTCTCAGCCCAGCAATGTTGGACTTAGCTGCCTGGCAGGCAGAGGGAGGCTCTCCCAGCTATCTTGGGCTGTCTCAGTTCAGCTGGGGAGGCACCTGAGGAGCCAGTTCCAAAAGCCTCCCCACCACACCACACCCCTGCCCCAGTATTGCACACCCTGCCACAGCTAGGGGGCACCCACCCACTCACTGCAGCAGCTTGCCCTGCCACAATGACGCACTTTGACCCACCCTGCCCCAGAGCCCTGCAACTTCCCTGCCCATGCTGCAGGGTATCCCTACCATAGGTCCAGGGCAGACACGCCCACAACAATCTAGGTAAAAGATACCACTCTGATCACATAGACCCCACTGAGGCAAACCGCCCAACTCAGCAAATGAAATAAACCATGCCAGCACACAGACAGAAAGGTGACCCCAACCACTGCCCACAAACAGCAATTGGGGCTCCATAGCAAAGAAGAACCAGGCACTAGAGAGTAAAGACTCAAGTGCAGAATGCCTTCTTCATAAAGCCATTACTCTCTAGACCAGGAAACATAGCACATCCATCTAATGCAAAGGAAGAAACACAAAAAGCTGGACAAAATGAAGAGGCAGAGGAATGTGTTCCAAACAAAACTACAGGATAAGACACCAGAAGGAGTACTAAAGGAAATGAAGATTACCAACCTTCTTGATAAAGATTTCAAAATAAAAGTCATAAATATGCTCAAGGATCTATAGAAAAGTATTAAAAGACTCAAGGAGGACTTCAAAAAAGAGTTACAAGAGCTGAAGAAGAGCCACTCAGAGCTGAAGACTATAGTAACACATGAAATATACAATGGTGGGTGTGGGTAAAATTGTAACGTTTTCAGAGTATCTCACCTGCCTTTAGTGCATTTGCATATCCTCAAGGGTGGAGAGAAGTTCATCTCCATATCTAATTACCTGGGCAACCTAGGGTGTGTCTGAACCTGAGAGTTTAAAGGGAGGGGCTGGCTTGCTTGCTTGTTTTGCTTCTTCCCAAGCAGAGGAGAAAGATGGCCCTGGACTGCAGTTTGTAAGCAATAAACAGGTTTTAAATTTTATTTCTCCCTTTGATATTGGTTTTTAGAGGTATTTTGTCCCGGGATTTCCTCTCCCCAGACTTACATCTGGCAGTAGTCAACAGGATTCCTCTGAACCCAAAATCTGTCATAATGGGTGTGACCTTTGGGAGGACTGCCCCTAGAAATGATGGAGAGAAGTGACACTCATGCTGAGGGAAGTGTGTCTACACTCTTGTGGTCGTGGAGGCGCCACCACTTCTGCTGGCCACACGAACCCTGGCCCATGGCCTGAGCCTAAGGCTACTGCTTCTGCCACTGCTGCTGCTCCTGCTGGTCACAACCATGGAAAGGAGCAGAGATCCAGGTCACCTTGATAGAGAAGCAACTGGCTGCTGTGTACCACACCTTGCTTGCTACGGAGACCATCGCTGGAACAGCCCCCGACCAAGGTAATAACCACCTATCCCATCATGGGGTAGGCGAGAGACTGGACCCAACGGCCATGGAGTGGTGTGTCATGGACACCTACTGTATATCATGTGACTGGTCATTTGCATTTGGCATCCCCAGGGAATAATGAAGCAGACACATTGGCCCAGGTGCGCTGGCTAGAAGGAAAGTCTGCCTCTGACGTGGCCCAATGGCTACATCAGCATTTGTTGCATGTGGGGCAAAAGACAATGTGAGCTGTAGCCTCTCAGTGGGACTTGCCATTGACCTTTGAAGAAGTTAGCTGACCCCAAAAGGAGTGCTCTGCACGTTGTGCAGATTAGCAAATCACCAAGAGGGGCCTAGAGCATCTCTTTGCAGCCTATGGCTGGTCACCAGTGACTGAGAGCAATCAAGGCACCCACTTTATTGGACATGCATTGCAAGGATGGGTACAGCAATTAGGAATATAATGGACATGGCCCTGGACATTTGGACACATGGACTGGTGATGGCTGGCTTTTCTGGCAGCTTGGGGAAAAGGCCTCCTGTGTATTCTTGGAAAAACATCAAAGCGGTTCCCCACAATCACGGTTATTTGCTTCTACAATCCTCGTGTCCTGGATGCTCCCCCTGGCTGCAGCTGCCATGTGGTGGCTGGAATGGACGAGCTTTGGACTTAATCTACATGGGACTTTGAACCTAGCTGAATCTGCTGGGCAACCTAGGGTGTGTCTGAACCTGAGAGGTTAAGGGGAGGGGCTGGCTTGCTTGTTTTCTTGCTTCCTCCGGAGCAGAGGAGAAAGACAGCCCTGGACTGCAGTTTGTAAGCAATAAGCAGGTTTTACTTTATTTCTTCCTTTGACTGATTTCGGTTTTTAGAGGTATTTTGCCCTGGATTTCCTCTCCCCGAACTTAGAGTGGGAATGTATAATAGATTGCTGCAAGTAGACGAGACAATCAATGAGATAGAAATTAGAGAAGAACACAACAAAACTGAGCAACACAGAGAAAAAAGAATTTCTAGGAATGAAAGAATGATAAGAGAGCTGTGTGACCAATCCGAAAGAAACAATGTTCACACAATAGGAGTATCATAGAAGAGAAAGACAAAGGGATAGAAAGTCTCTTTGAGGAAATGATTGTCGAAAACTTCCCCAATCTGGGAAAATGAACAATCGGATCACAAACGCACAGAGAGACCCTAACAAAAGGAACGCCAGGAAGAAAACGTTAAGACATATAATATTAAAATGGCAAAGACTAAGAATAATGAGAATACTGAAAGCACCCAGAGAAAGACAAAAGATTACTTAAAAGGTGAATGCTATCAGACTATAAGTAGACTCCTCAGCAGAAAGTTTATAGGCCAGAAGGGAGAGGCATGAAATATTTAATCTACTGAAACAGCAGGGCCTTCCACCAAGAATCCTCTATCCAGCAGGATTATCATTCAAATTTGAAGAACAGATTAAACAATACCCAGATAAACAAAGGCTCAGGGAATTTATAACCACTAAGCCAGCATTACAGAATGCTAAAGAGACTGGTGTAGATGGAAATGTTCCTAAGGCTAAATAGTTTTTACCAGTGGGAAAAAAACACAGTAAATGTAGAACACCAGTTAACTACCAAGCAAGAAATTAAAAACAAAAGTAATAAAACCAACTATACACAAAATCAGTCAAGGGATACACAAGAAGTGCAGATTATATCTAATACATAAAGCATGGAGGAGGAGGAAGAAAAAAAGAAGTACTTTTAGATTGTGTTTTAAAGAGAGCAATCATCAACTTAACATAGACTTATATAGTTAGGAAGCTATATATAAACCTTTAAGCACAAAACTAAAACCTGTAACAGATACATAAAATATTAAAAAAGGGATATCCAATCACAACACTAAGGAAAAATATCAAATCACAAGAGAAGAGTAAAAGAGAGGAAGAAAGGATCAGGAGAAACTAAAAAAAGCAACCAGAAAACAACAAGATGACAATAAGTACATATCTATCAATAATAACATTAAATATGAATGGACTGAATGCACCAAACAAAAGACACAAAATGGCAGAATGGAAAAAGAACAAGACTCATTTATAAGTTGCCTACAAGAGACTCATTTCAGACCCAAAGACAAACACAGACTAAAAGTGAAAGGCTGGAAAATGGTATTACATGTAAATACTAGGGAGAAAAAAGCATTAGTAGTAGTAGCAGTACTTATATTAGACAAAATAGATTTCAAAACAAATTAACAAGACAAAGGACATCACATAATGATAAAGAGGTCAACTAACAAGAATATATTACAATTAAAAATATCTATGTACCCAATATAGAAGCACTTAAGTATGTAAAACAAATACTAACAGAATTAAAGGCAGAAAGAGATTTCAACACCTTCATTGTGGGAGACTTGAACATACCATTCACATCAACAGATCAACAAGACAGAAAATAAATAAGGAAACAGAGGCACTGAAATATACATTAAATCAGATGGACTTAACAGATACATACAAAACACTCCAACCAAAAGCAGCAGGATGCACATTTTTCTCAACTGCACATGGAATGTTCTCGAAGATCACATAGTAGGCCATAAAAAAAAAAAACTGAATTCAAAAAGACTGAAATTGTATCAAGCAGCTTCCCAGAACACAAAGAAAAAAAAAAGCCTGCAAACACTTGGAGGCTGAACAACAGGCTTCTAATAACCAATGGATCAATAACCAAAATAAAAACAAAAATACAATAGTAAGGACAATGCAAAAGAACAATCCCAAATAAACAGTCTAAACTCACAATTAAAGAAACTACAAAATAAAGAACAAATGAAACCCAAAGCTAGTAGAAGGAGGAATGTAGTAAGGATCAGAGC